GGGAAAGAGAGCACTTCAGACTCCGGGCTTGCAGCCACAGGGACTTCAGAACCCTCGGTGAAAGCAGAACAGACAACCCTTTGCAGAGCACGTCACAGCGGTTTCCCTTCCAAGAGCTTTGCACTCAGTTGATCTGTGAGGCTGCTCATGAAATAAGGCATCTAAAGAGACCCCTCCGTCCGAGGTCTATGCCAGCTGTGGCCAAACAAAAGCCAGAGATGAACAGCAGGGTTCTCAGTGGGCTTTCTCCTGCCCAGGGAGCTTTGGTGTACAGGGAATTCACGTTAGTCCCCAAATAGGTATTCGACCACTTTGTACTGTTGCCATCCTCTGTTTCAGAAATGCAGAAGCATCTTTCGAATTCCAGGAGCATTCCTGAACTTTCCTTTTACTCCTGTGCTGTTTAGTTACATCATTCCCTCCAGCTTGATTCCCTGCCCACCCCCCCCCACCCCCATCACTGTGTCTGCTGCAATCTATGATCCTTTAATGTCAGGTTAAAATTATAGCTACTCTATAAAGCTTTCATCATTTTCCCAGTTGGAATTTATTTTGTCTTCCTCTCCGTCACAGAATCTCATAATTTGAAGACCTCTAGACTCGTCTTCCACCGTATCCAGCAGAAAAAGCTGCCCTCTGATACCCCTGGCAAGCAGCTATCTAGCCATTGTTTTGTGTCTCTCTGTTGCCAGGTGTTATGGCCTGAAACACCCCGCCCCCCGCAATGTCCCCGCCCCCCCATTCATAGTTGAAGCCCTAAGCCCCCGAGGACCTCAGAATGTGACTGTATTTGGAGATGGGGCCTTTGAAGAGCTGACTGCGGTTAAATGAGGTATATGGGTGATCACTAATCAATAGTGTCCTTATAAGAAGAGGAAATTCGGACACACAAAGGGACACGAGTGATGTATCAGCACAAAGAGGAAAGGCCACGTGAGGACAGAAGGCGGCCCTCTGTCAGCCAAGGAGAGAGGCGTCAGGAGAAACCAAACCAACACCTTGATCTTGAACTTTTACCATCCAGAACTATGAGAAACGAGCGTCTGTTGTTTACGCCGCCCACACTGGAGCAGACCTAGGTGACTAATGCAGCAGGCCATTGTCGCCCTGGGAGACAGGCTTCTAATCTCTGCCTGCTGGACACTTGGTTTTCATACTGATGGAAATTGTCCTCTCAGTAACCTCCAGCTAGTGGCGCTTTTCCTGCTGTATACAGACAAGTCTAATCACTCTTTCAGAAGGCTGTCCCATTTTCAGTCATTCTGCTGCCTTAAAAGTCTTCTTTTTCTCATTTTTCTCAGTGTCTAGTTTCCAGACACTTCACAACCCTGTTCATTCTCCTCTGGATGTGTTCAGTTCATGGATAGACTTCCTTAAGTTTGAGGCCTGGAATAAACACAAAATACCTTAGACGTGTCCTGTCTACCAAGAGCAAAAGAGGCTTCATCTCATTTTGTTCACTACAGAGCTGTGCTGTGCAATGTGGTGGCCACCAGCTACGTGTGGTGACATATTTTAATTAATCGAAACTACATCAGCCACATTGCAAGTGCTTGATGGCCACGTGTGGCTAGTGGTTACTGCACTGGACCATGCAGTGATAGAATATTTCCATCATCACAGAACATCTCATTGGACTGTGTTGCCATGGAGATGGAGGGACATTGAGAGACACGCTGGTCCCACTGTCCGAGGGAAGCATCTTAGGCCAAGGCCACACAGTTGCTCACACAAAACACAGTCTCCTGATCTCCAGCCTGTATTCTTTCTGTACATTGTATTGGTTCCTGCCAAGGCTGTTCAAGATTGTTCCAGGTTTTAAAAGCCTCACCACAATATCGACCTCCAGTAAGATCATAGTCAACTAGACTCTCTAAATCTCCAGTTCCAGCTTTTGTTGCTCTTCATTGGAAGATGTCAGAGCTGGAAAGATACTCAGTCCAACCCCTGCTGCAAGATTGAATCCTTCCTTCAGTACGTCCTCCAAATGATTGTTATTAGGAAGATGGATCAAGCTAATAAATGTGAAAGCCCTTTGAAATCAGAAGGTCTACACTTTCTTTTTCTTGTTGTTGTTGGTATATATGTGTGTGTGTGTGTGTGTGTGTGTGTGTGTGTGTGTGTGTGTGTGTGTGTATTTATACCAACATTTAAATATATGTATATTTAATGTTATGTTTACCCTTCCTTTTGTTGGGTAAACAGAGGAGACCCAAATACAACCAACTGTGGCTTTTTAGAGCCCAGATGGACCTCAGAGCTCAGCTACTTACACCTCTCTGTGATTCTCTCCCTAAATGAAGATGCTGAGGTCTGGCGATGCCCCCCAGGGCATGCAGTTGGCCACAGGCAGAGCCAGGACCAGAGGTAGATCCCATGACCCCCACCAGTTCTCACACCACCTCTCTGCTAGTGAATTATGGTGTCACCACACTCAGTGGGAACTCATTTCTGGCATTATCTTTGAGGATCTAGTATATTATAGGACCCCCCAAAAATAGCAACCTATTTAATGTCAGGGTACTTTGGTTACATTCCTTGTTCTAGAATGAATTTGTGTGATTTCTAGCAAAGCACTCAAACTTTCTGAGCCCCAGCTTCTCAAATTTAAAATTGAGGAGACTAGATTATGTGATCTCATCCATTTCTAAGATTCTGAAGCTGGTCATCTTTCCTTTGGTGGGGAACTAACACGTTTATGGTCGCATTTAATCCTCCAAGGAATGTATCACTTTTTCCTAACTTACAGACATTGAAACTGAGGCCCAGGGAGATTCAATGTTCCCATAATCTAATCAGCCAATGATTATATTATCTTAATAGATGCAGAAAGATATTGGAAAAAAAATCAACATTGATTCATGATAAAAAATAAAAGCTCCTAGCAAATAAGAAACTGGAGGAAACTTCCCTAATCTGATAAAGAGTACCTACAGAAGCCTACAAAATACAGTATACTTAATGGTCAAGTATTGAAAACATTCCACGAGATTGGCGATCAGACCAGCATAACTACTATTGTCATTACCATTCCACATGGTACTTGAAGTACTGGCCAGGGGGATAAGATAAAAAAAATAAAAATAAAAGGTACAAGGGTTGGAAAGGAAGAAATAAAATTGTCTCTATTTGCAGACATTATGATTATATGTAGGCAATCCAAAAGGAATGAACAGGCAAATTTAGCAAATTTAGCAAATTTAGCAAACATACAAAAAAGAAAAAATGAATTTTGCTTCTGTATATTAGCAACGCAACAGAAAAAAGGAAATAAAATAAAAACACCATATAGAAGAGCATAAAATATGCCTAGTTATAAATCTAAGAAATTATGTGCAATACCTCTATCTGTAAAGAATACAGTATTTTTTTGAATTTAAAGAGGCCCTAAATAAGTAGAAATATACTATGTTTAAGCATTGGAGGATTAATTATTTTTAAAATGTTAATTTTCCCCAAATTAAGCTGCAGATTTAACCCAATACCATAAAATCCCAAGAGATTTCTTTCAGTGAAACTTGATGAGCTGATTCTAAAATATATATGGAAATTCCAAGGACCAAGAATAGCCAAGACATTCATAGAAAAGAAGGCGAGAGAATTTGCTTTACTGGATTTGGAGACTAATTACAGAGCCACTGTGATTAGACAGTGTGGTGAGGATACAAGGGCAGACAAGTACATAAGTAGGACAGCAGAAAGAGATACATGCGTACATGGAAAACTGAAGTAGAAGGACAGTGGCTCCGCAGAACAGTGGAGAAAAATGGTCTTCTCAGTGCTTGGTTCTGGGACAATTGGATATTCATAGTGGAAAAAAAAAAACCCTTTTCTCTTAGCTCGGACCATACATGCGCACTAAAAACCACTGTCAGATGGTTATAAGCCTAAATGTAAAAGGAAAAACAGTAAGCCCCCAGAAAACAGCACTGAACACTTTCTTCGTGCCTTTGGGGTAAAAAAAAAGATTTCTTAAGGTACAAAAGCGCTAACCCTAAAGGAAAAGATATGATACATTTAACCACATTAAAATAATGTGGAAAACCTCTGCTTAAGGAAAGTTTCCATTCAGAGAGTGAAAAATTAAGGCACAAGGTAGGAGAAGATATTTCTAATACTTACAACCAACAAAGAGCCTCTATGCAGAATATATAAAGAGCTACTACAAATCATTAAGAAAAGACAGATAATCTGATAGAACACATGGGCAGAAGACAAAACAGGTACCTCACAAAAGATATCCAAGTGGCCAGTAGTTATACACAAAAGTACCCAACTTATTATTTATCGGGGAAATGCAAATTAAATCGCCAGTGATATGCCACTCCCCTCACCAGATGGCTAAAATTTTACAATGATTGACATTATCAAGTGTTGACATAGATATGGAAGAACAGGCACTTTCATTCATTGGTTGTAGGAGCGTAAATTGATATATACGCTTTTGGAGAACAGTTTGGCATTATTCATTAAAATTCAGTAGTATAAGCATATGCTACGACCCAGCAATGCCACCACCTCTTGACACGTAGTCCGCTGAAACGTATGCACACACCAAGCTATGTTATTCAGCGGGAATGTTAACATGGCAAAACTATAAGAAATACAGCAAGTTATGACCGTAAAAGTCAAGTGATGGTTGCTTTGGGGGGAAG